ATATGGAAAGCTTTCAAAGACATAAAAGGCTGCAGCGAAAAGTGAGAGAATGATCTGTTCTTAGTAGCTACTAGGAATAAGATAACAAGTCATGGGCTGAGCAAGGAAATTTAGTCACTGGGAAAAACTTATATAAGTGAAAGGCTGATGAAGCACTGAAACCTCTGCTGCGTGTGGGATGAGTGTCAGGAGGCCTTCAGAGAACCCATCTCTGGGTGAGTGGGAGAGGAACTCATCTTGCTTTGGCTGGCATGATGCACCGTGAGATCTTTGTAGCCCTGTTTTCCTCTTGCTTGAAGATTATTTTATAAAGCTTGTGATGAAGTCTGCCTCTTTGGAGGTAGGCATGCATTTCCTGGATGTTGCCAACCTTCGTTTTACAAGACAGCAGGGATTACATGTGACAGTGTGACTTTATCTTTGGTATAGCAGCAGTTATCCAAGGTCCTGGTCAGGCTGCAGGCTTGCACGGAGATGGGAGGAAGCTTTGTAGTTACGGACAGGAATAGAGGGCATGTTTGCCTGTGGTAGGGCAGCAAGGGAGCCCTTGGCTTGCTGTTTGTCCCTGTGTGTGACCGTGCTGGGTGATACACAGTCATGGTCCTTGTCCTGAAGACGCTAGATGGGTACAGGGGATTCCCCTGCCAAGGCAGAGCTCTCCAGCACACTTATTTGCTGGTTCACGGGCTGATTGGGGCTGTACTTTTTAATCGTGGAAAGTAAGAACATGTCTTTTGTGTCCTGAATAGGCGATTGTCCTGATTCTCATCCCCGGGATCCATTATGTCTTAGCAAATTACTTTCTCTCTTTTAAATGCCTTAGTGATTAAAGATGCCACAGCAGATACCCTTAATGAGTACAAAAAGGGTAATAATTCCTCTTGTTGGCACTGAATGCAATTAATCAGTCCCCTTTACTTGCTTTTTAAACAGATGAGGCATTTAAGGCCAAGCAAGTTTTTAATTGGACTTTAATGTCTCTCATTTACTTCATTTTGGCACAGGCATAGGAATTCCCACCCCCAGATTTGCTGTTGGATTTATTCAGGGTGATGAAAGGCTCAGCGTAGAGTGAAGACTCAGCAGCAGACTCAGACATGTCCTTCAGCCTGTGCCTGGCCTTGTCTCATTGCCTGGCCCAGGCTTGGTCTCGCTTCAAACAGCACAGAATTGTCCGGGCAGGAGCAGAGCCAGGTCATCCAGCCCAGGGCCTGTCTCCAGCATGGGGCTGACACTGGATATTAGAAGTATTTTTGGAGTAGTCATCAACACGAGGGCGCAGCATTGCCTGCCCTGTTTCGTTAGGTTCGCTTGCCTTGAAGGGACCATAGACTTGCAAGTGTGGCTATCAGGAAGCCCTTGATGGAGGTCCGTGTTCGTAACCTAGACTCTGTAGCCTCAAACTTCAGCTAACTTGTATCTTTTAAGGGATCTTCCTGAGATCCATGGCCAAGAGGAGATAGAGAGGCCTTGAGCACTGTTACAGATAGACGTGTGCATGTAGACAATGTTAATTTGTGCCAGGACTTACCATGGGAGAAAAGATGTGTGACAAGCAACCTTTGTCTAGCCTGCAGCCCCTGCTCCCTGCTGGGAAGCCAGCACTGCCTCTGCTCCCACCGCTGGCCACAAACCATCTTGTCTTTGGTTCCCTTCCCTCATGTAGATCCTTACACTGTGGTTTGGGGACATGGCAGCATGTCCCAGTCTGCATTTGTGCAGGGATGGACGCGGCAGCCCAGCCTGGCTGATTGGTCCCTGTCCTGACTCAGCTTTTCCCCACCAGCAGCTGACAGACTGAGGTTCAGCCGAAAAGGCACCAGGCTCGGCATGTGCAAGCCTGCCTCTGAGCCTGCTTGTCACTCTGCGGGGCAGGCGTTCCTCTAACACACAGCAGAGATCCTGAAATGGCTTCAAGTGGGTTTTCCAGGTGCGTGCTGTGTCTTTTGCAGTTAGGGCTGTATGTAGCACGCTTGGACAGTGGCTGTAGGCTCCTGCCCGTGGAAGAGTTGGTGCATGCAGGTGATCTGTGAGTGCCCTTAGACAGGTGAGATGACTCTTACACCATCAGGGTTCTTTGCCTCATAAACCATTTGGGTGACATCTAGGGCCAAGGGACAACACCCTTCATTTCTACATCCCTGCTTCTCCTCCTTCAAAGGTAGGCAAAATTGTAAGCACAAGTGAGTCTGGAAAGTTAAGTATATTCAGTGAAATGTGTTACTGAATGCCTTGTGTTAATTTAAACACCTTCTGCCTGCCAGGCTGGGGAGAGAGGAGTGTTGCCAGCTGGAACAGCCATAGCACTTTTCTAGAGCTGTCTCAGAGCATCTTTACTTTAAGTCCTGTGGTAAAACTCAAGGCCTCCCACTGCAGCATGAGGAACTGCCATACATGAGTACCAGGCTCTGCTGTCCAGGCAGCTGCTCAGCAGGGAGTACCATGGGGCATGCTTGCCCAATATTTTGTTTGGTGTTTCTTTCTTACCTGTCATATCTCCTCTCCTCCCACTCCCTCGCAACTTGAACACTCATCTGATACTGGGTTTGGTGGTTGTGTAAGGTTTGTGTGTAGTCCTGGATAGCCAGATGTGGGAACTGAATCACTCCAATTTTATCTTGTGCTGAGAACATCTTTGCACATTTTGCTCCCTTCTGGAAAAGACTTTGAAGATCACCTAGTCCAACCATTAATGTCACCCTGACCGTTCCCAACTCCACCAGATCCCTCAGCTCTGGGTCAACCCGACTCTGCAACCCCTCCAGGGATGGGGACTACCCCCCTGCCCTGGGCAGCCCATTCCAACGCTCAACAACCCCTTCTGCACAGAAATACTTCCTCAGAGCCAGTCTGACCCTGCCCTGGCGCAGCTTGAGGCCGTTCCCTCTTGTCCTATTGCTTGTTACTTGATTAAAGAGACTCATCCCCCCTCTTGCACCCTCCTTTCAGGGAGCTGTAGAGAGCCATGAGGTCTCCCCTCAGCCTCCTCTTCTACAGACTAAACCCCCCCAGTTCCCTCAGCCACTCCTCAGAAGACCTGTGCTCCAGACCCTGCACCAGCTTCATTGCTTGCACCACTTTCCTGCTACCTGCAGATAAGGATAGTCGGGGCCATCGTGTCTTGAAAAGTAAGAGAGACTCAGAGGCTGAGTGAGGATCAAGGTTTTATTGTATGATTGTGATCTGAAGAGCTGTAGACGTCTCGATGAGACATTCAGGGACAGAGGTGAATAAAAGAGCATCCAGCTTACTCTGTGTCTCTGCAGAGTGGAAAGTGCTGGCTGTCAGCCTGTGCTCCAGTGGTGGCCTGAAAAGAAATGAGGCCTGAGTCCTAGGACACTGCTGCTCCTCTGCCTGGGCAGTATGAGGAGGGGCAGGCAGCTTTGTCTGGTGGCTACAGAGCCTGCCAAAGTGCCCTTAATCTAAGGTTAGTAGCCTAAATATATCAACGTCAGGAAGCTGCAACCCCAAATGACTATGGCCATCCATTCTTGCATTGCAAATCTTCTGGCTGAGCCCTACGAAGATGTCATTTTCTTTGATTTAATTCCATATAAACTGTGGAATTATTTTCCTTTAGAGGCTTGCAAATTATGGAAGCATAAACCATGCTAATGATGCGATAAGTACAGCTTTGGATACGTTCCCAAGAACAGCTACCCCTGGGCAGGGCTTTGCTTGGCGAGTACTGATGGAGTGCAGTCTGCCACGCTTACCTGGCTGCCTTCCTTGGGCCCCCCCTTCCCCGAATTCCTCCATCTCTCAGGAACGAGAATCATTTCCTCTCAGGCTTCTTGCAGAGGCAAAGGCCCTGCAGACCTGAAGTTATCTCTGGAATGTGTGTAAACACAGAGTTCAATGGGATGCTGTTTGCCCCCCTCTCCTGGGGGGGTTTAAGAAGGGTTAATACAAGTTTGTTTTACGGGTTCCTAGCCCTGAGAATTGTCTTCCTCGGAGGGTGACCCGGCTGACCCAAGTCCCTGTGTGTGCATTTCCCAGAATAAAGGGGAGGTTCGGGGGCCCCACCACGCAGGTGGGATTTTGTCCTTTAAGAACAAGGAGATGAAAGACCAAGGTGGTCTTCCTGCTACATAGGGACCTGGGAAGTGGTGTGGGATCACAGTGCATGTGCACTGGGACTCAGCACGTCGTGTGATGGTGTAACAAGTGGGATTTAAGCAATCCTTGGACAGAAACAGGTTTGCAGTCAGGAGAAGGGTGGGGGTTACATGCGGTTCTGGTGCACCTGTCTTCAGAGAGTGTTGAAACGTAAGCAGGGGGACAAAATCTTAGAAAAGATGTAGGGGCTAGGACAAAATCCATTTCAATGAGAGGCATAAAGACCTCCATCTGTTTGTCAAAAAAAATATTCTGATGTAAATTTGTTTTGGTATACAAGTATATTATCAATGAGACCCGCCTAGGCACCAAAGGACTCTTGGATAAAATAAGCCACAGCAACCAGAACCTAAAGCTAGTCAAAATCAAGTTAGAAAACAAGCATCTTGATACCAATTAAATGGTTAATTCCTAGATGTGTTGTCAGCACTGGTGACGCACTGAGGCTGGATCCCTTCCAGAGAACAACACTTTAAACCGAAGACAAAGAACCAGGCTTAGCACGGAGGTGATCAGTGGAACAGCTTGGCCTGGTATATACAAGGGGTCAAACTAGATGATTTAATGATCTCTTTTGGCCTGAAAGCTTTCTGTTCTCTTAAGAAGATAAATGAAAAAGCCCTTTCACAAAAAGTGAGCACTTGAGATATGTGTGTAATGAACTCTGCTGCTTCCAGGGGAACGGCGGAGCAGGATCTGCAGGAAGCGTGACCTTGCCGCCCGCGGACTGCCTGAAGTTGGTGGCCATCTGTTTAGTGGCGGTGGCTCACCACCATCAAGGCTGCTTCTCTCATGCACGACGTTTCTCAGCTTTATTTTTAATTGCTAACTGATGCTGTCTTCCTGCATTTAAGTAACATTTGCTCCCTTATCTCCGTCAGGGTGAAGAGGCCAAGCGGTATGAGCAGCCTCCTGGGGAAGATTGGCTCCAAAAAGCAGAAGATGAGCACACTGGAGAAATCTAAACTGGACTGGGAGAACTTTAAGGAGGAGGAAGGAATTGTGGAGGAGCTGGCAATCCATAACCGAGGGAAAGACGGGTAAGAGGGACTTTACCTAATAGTAGTCCATCATTTCCCACCACTTCCTATACATGTAGGAACCCCATTGCTTGCTGCAGAGAGCATTCAGCAAACCCATGGGATTTCTGAAGGATTTATTCCAGGGATACATAAAGCTGTTAGCTGCTCTAGGTATCACGGGGAGACAGGTAGGTCTGGAAGCACGTGCTGCTCTCTGCTGAGAGCCTTGTGAGCTCTTCAAGTCCAGCTAGAGTCTGGCTGTGCTTTATCTTCTCTCCTGCTAGTGCTAGTGGCACAGATACAGGGTGAACCAGTCTAATGCAGAACTCCCACGAGGAAACACAATTGCCTTTGACCTGTTTGTTTGGGGTTTTTTTTAAAGTCTCAAATTGGGAGGTACGGTTTTTGTTCCATTCTTCAAATGACATATTCCAGCTGCGTCTGTCCTCCCTCCTCCTGTGTAAAGATGTATGCAAACCCAGAACAGCTGGCAAGGTGCGTTAAAGATTATGGCAGCACTGGGTGTTGATTCTGTGCATCAAGCAATGTTCACTCCAATGAAGTTAATGGAAGTATCGTAAAAGTAAATGGTGATGCTGTAAATAAAACAGAAAGTTAATAACATGCACTGCAGGGAAGGATAATAAGATCAGAAGCAGCATTTCCACTACAAGTGCCTCACTAAGCTCTGGGAAAACGTAACCAGCTTACTGGACAGCTCATAAAATGTATTTTTATTGTAAGCTGTTCTTCTACTCTGCAGGAAAAAACTCAGAGCTTCTGCATTCCAACAGATTGGATTTTGTATTTCAAATAGATATTTTACAACTGCTGGGTTTTTTCAGTTTGGCCTTGCACCCTTCCACAACACCCCTTCTCCATCAGATCTGCTCTGATCTGTCTCTGGACATTCGCCCTTGAACAAGTAGAGTGATTCAGTGGGAGTGCTGCAGGGGGACAGGGCATTCCTCAGAGATCCCTGAGATCCCAGGAGGTGAGCAATTTACCTCATGTTAGGTGTGGCAGAGCACGTGTGCACCAAATCACTGCTGATGCTGTCTGAGGCGTGGTGAATATCATGGTCAGAGCCCTGTACATGAGGCTCTCCGGTGAAATGTCCATGCCACAAGTCTGGAGGCAGAGCCAGGCTGTATACTGAGATGGAGGAGGAGGAGGAGGAGGAGGAGGAGGGTGATTCTCCCATGAAGCCGCATCAGGAGCTGCAGGTTGCTTTGGGAGAACACACCTCCAGGGGAGGGTCCTGTTTCTGTCTGTGGCACCTGGCTGGCTTGTCCCAACAGGGTGTGGAGTGAGAATTTGCCCTACATAGATATCCTGAGCGGCTGCCAAGTGTGATAACAGCTTTGGGCTTTCACTGCTCTGGACTGGGCTGATGGTGGTAGTACCACCATTAAAAACCAGACAATCTCCTGATGGTTGCTGGGACGCATCGTTTCTTTCTTCATGTGGTGGAATCGCCTGAATTGGGGTCCATCGCTCTCAGCTGGACTATATACACCCCAAACAGTCCAGGCTGCCCTGCGTGAGCGTTCTGTGGCATCTCTTGCTTGTTCAAACCCAATATGCTGACCTTTCTTGGCCAGTGCTGTTTTCTTTCCCACCCTACACAAGTAGGACAGCTCGCCCTTCATGCCTGGCAGACCTTTCTGGAGACGCTGACATAATGGCCCTTGAAGGCTGAAGAAGGGATCAGCACACTGAAAAGATGAGCAAAGCAGAGAAGCAATTTCAAGAGCATCTGTAAGCTTGAACAGCTTTGGGTTTTGCTGCCTGTCACATCCCAGGCTGGAAAATCTACCGGGCTATTGGCAAGCAGTTTTTGTCATTATATGAGAAACATGATGCCATGATAACTTTAGACACTCCTTACAAATCTGTTTGTGCTAGTCAAGCATGTAATGTGAGGGGATCAACCGAGTATCTGCTCACTGAGAATTACTTCCACCTTCAAGGTAAAGGGAGAAGGGAGGAGCACTGATGGATGTGCAGCCCACTTCATTTCTGCTCACAGGCCACCTGTAAACACCCGTGGGGTGAAGCGTGCCACAGTGTGACAGGGCAGCCAGCCTGCCTGGGGATCAGATCACACAGACACAGCTGCTACTGGCTTCACGTTGTTTTGCAGGAGCCTATTGTCTCTTCCGCAGCCGCCTCTTCTCCTTTAATAATGTAGGCTCTGCTCACCCTTCAGTGGGCAATCATTTACACATCTCTATAAAAATTGTAATGAGCCGTTGTTAACCCTTCGACCCAGGCAGGAGGGAGCGGGGCGCTGCCTTTATCCCTGGTGCTGACGTGCGTTAGAAACCTCTGGTCACCGCGTATCCTGCTTTGTAATTGTAAATATCTGCCTGAGGAGGAGAGCCACAGCCGGCTCCTGGAGGGGTCTGCCCAGTGCCACGGGTGCCTGCACACTGTGGGGATGGTCCATGCGTGTCTCGAGCAAAGCAGGAGGCACTTTTTTTTTCTTTTGTCTTGGAAGGGAAGGCAGGCTGAATTTCTTTTTTGTAGCAACCTTGCAAAAGTTCACAGCCCAGAGCTCCTGGTGCCTTGGACCTCCCCTGCCCTTCTCCAGCAGCGACACGTGCTCGGCCAGCGCACCAGTGGCCAGTTGAGCATCAGTTATTGGCCAGCCACAGCCTGGCCCTGGGATTCCCAAGGCAGAGGGGACCTGTGCTGCCCCGTGGCTGTGTCCACCCTTGCCTCTGATTTTCCTCCCTTCCTATCACCATCCCCAGGCAGTGATTTGCATTCCCCCCCACAGCGGGATCCAGGCTTGTGCAGCCTGGTTGTGTCAGATCCTGAGGGCCTGTCCTGGATTTGACAGGGGGAGCTGAAATAAGGAGCAGAGACAGCTATCCCCTTCGCTGTTGATCTCTCTGATGGGCTTTATAAATGGAAATGTGTAGCAGCCTCTTAATTGGGCCACCTTTATAGGGCAGGCCCAGTGGGGGAGCAGCCCCGCTCCCGGTGTGGGGCCAGTCCCATGCGCTCGTGCACTGGGTAACTGATGGTGACTGTCCGGGGACAGGCAGCACTGATGAAACCCTCCCCAGAGCAGTTTGCAGCTACCCTTGTTAGCAGAGACAGACAGCCTCTTCTCCCAACAAATTCACCTTCTCTGCTGTGGATCACATCTGCTCTGTTTCCAGTCAGGCTGATAACTTACCACAGGGTATTGATTCAGGTAGCAAAGGTTATTTGGACAAGCACCGGACGGGTGTTTGTGCCTTGCTCGTGCACTTTGTACTGCCGTTTGGCAGCACCTTGTCGGCTGCACGGAGCCAGGCTGGGAACTGGAGATTGAGCTGCAGCTCCGGTGCAGGGGAGCTTGTGCTGACCCTGCAGACATGCTGCTTCCCCACTTGTGTCTCTCAGCACCTCCAGCCCCGATGTGCGTGCATTACAGGCTGGCCGGGTTTGTTGCCTGCCCCATAAACTGCAGTGTATGCACAGGTAGTGAGTGCCTTGCAGGGTCTGCTCTGGCCCCCACAGTGCTTTTCTGTGGCCAGCCAAGGACAACGCCACGGGGCAACGTCGCAGTTCCTCCTCCACGCAGAGCTGCTGGCTGCAGCCGTGAGGCCACATTCCTGGGTCATGATCCGTATCGATCCTTCAGGAGCCAGTTCCTGCCCGCCGGAGAGGCACAGCCGACACGGAAGAGGAGGAAGGCACTGACCCCTTACTGGGGCTGGGGGAAGGGAGTCGCAGAGAGGCTGTAGGAGCTTCAAATTCAGTAACTTGGGCAGTTGCTGCCCCAGCAGTTGGGATGTTCACAGGTTAACAGCGGTAACCTCTGTCCCTTGCCTTCCTGGCCGTGGTTGTGGTTGGTGTTTAGCAGCAGAGGGGGAGGAAAACCACACACCCAGCAATATGACACGCTGTAATATACAACATGACCCCCCCTGACTTCCTTCCCGTGGCCTCTCTGAGCCCGGCTGCAGGAGCGGGTCACCTCCCTGCTTGTGGGGATGAAGGGAAGCGACACTCCCCTGCTCGCCTTTCCTGAGTCAGTGTGGGGAGGGCGCCAGAAAAATACCTTCTCATGGCTGGCACATCGTCTGTTACACCGCGCTGGGCCCCTGCCCCTCGCAGCCAGCAGAGAGGAGCTGACCCAGTTGTGTCAGCATGAGACGGGCTGCGATGGGAATGGGGTGGTGGCAGGGATGTGCAGGGCTGTTCATCCTCCCAGGGGAATCGCTCGCTGAAATGAATTTGGATTAATTTATTTCCAGTGATGACTGGGTGGGCAGGAGCATCAAGGCCATCCCTTGCAGCAAGGGTGAAGGCACCCTCGTGCTAGGAGCACATTGAGCGCTGGTTTGATAGTTGGAGCATAAAGCAGAGACCTCGTCACCAAAGGCAGCAGAACCCCTCTGTTCTGGAGGGGCCACTGGTGGTGGGAGGGGGCTTCACCCTTCCCATGCACCTTTGTGCACACCGCCCACTGCACAGGAGCCTGGAAAACCTGCGAGCCCGCGGGATGCTCATCTTTCCTTCAGCTTTCAGTCTTGCTTCCAAGCAGTGGTTCTCTGGTTAGCAGGCACGGCTGTGGTGCAGGAGAAGCAGTGGCCGCAGAGACAAGCTGAAGGCGGTGTCTCATGCATCGGAGAGTAATGACCTTGTCATGACAGCCAAGCGTTTGCCACCCTGGAACAAATGCAAAACAATTGTGATGATTCAATTACAGCTCCTGTTTTGAATTGCAATTTCACTCCCTCTGTAGGTTAATTAGTAGCACAGCCCCAGGCTATCTGTGGCAAGGGTTTGCAGCAAAGCACATTAAAATTCAGCTGCATGCCGTTAATGAGCGGCAAGGTGCTTTTCCAGGCGCAGGCGTGCTTGCTTTCTTCCTTGCAGCACTCAGGTGCCTCACTGAGAGGGAGAAGTAAATACTCTGCGGTGGTTAGGAGCGGGTCTGTGGCTGGGAAACACCTGGCCTGGATCCCTCAGCTGCTGCAGGCTCGCTGGGCGATGCCAGTTGGGTCCCTAGTGCTTCCTGTACGTTACCAGCTTGTATGGTGCGTTGTGCTGCTGTGGTTCGGTTGGAGGTGCATGGGCAGGGTCACCTGGGCAGCCAGAGAGGAGCATCAGAGCTGCCTCTCCTGCCAAGGACCAGCCCTGAACCCATTCAAGTTGTGAAGGTCATTGCTCAGACGTAAGAGGAGAGCTGGAACGAGAAGCAGCCAGCCCATTTCTCCAGCACATGGGGACCCTCCACCTCAGACCCCTGTGAGATTCCTGGTTTCTCACCCCAGGAAACACCCAGCAGGCCACAGAGCAATTTTGGTGTCTGTGGGACATGCTCAGTGCAGTGATCAGCTCCTGGAGAGAGAGGGAGGGAGGCAGAGGATGCCTTCCCTCCCTGCTCATCCCTTCAGATCAGCTTTGCCCCGGGCTGGGGGCAGCACTGGATGCTGTAGGCACTGCCTACAGCCTCTGCCTCTCTGCCTCCCTGCAGGTACATCGAGAGGAAAGCATTCCTGGAGCGTGTGGATCACAGGCAGTTTGAAATTGAACGTGACATCAGACTGAGCAGTATGAAGCCCTGATGTGCCGGGTGTGGCCGCGGGGGATCCTGCTCCCAGCCAGCTGCCCGCCTCCGCTGGACCACCAGGCACAGAAACCGTTCTCTACCCAAGACTCAGCCTGTATGTCTCAACGTACAGGTTTTTCCTTTTACTGTAATAGTTTGGGGAGGGTATTTGTCAGTGGGCAGGGGGCACTTTGAGCATTAAATGGCCCAGCAGGTGACAGGAGCGACCAGCATGATTCTGGCAGGCAGCTTTCCAAGGAGAAGAGATTGGTGGCACCCATCGTTTGTCATCCCTGGGCACTCCTGGCAGCAGGCGGAGCTGCCGAGGCTGGGAGGGTGCTGGAGCCTGGTGAAGGCTGGGCTGGCATATTTGGTTGCGCGAGCGGAGCTGCGGGAAGGCTTTGTGGCTGCTGTGCGTGCGTAAGCTGTGGGTTGGAGCCCTTCTCCCTGCCCCAACAGCCCCGCAGTGCTCCCTGCCCCTCCACGCTGTGCTCTTGCCCGGACAAAGCCGAACTGTCTGTACTTGTTTGTGGGGTCTGATGATGCTGGGGGGGTTTAAGCAAGCCGATGAAGAAAACCTTCCTTGTTCACGCTGTCAAGAAGATGGGAGCAGCTGCAGCAGGGGTGTTCACGTGAATAAAGTATTCCATCCCAACAGCCTTGCCTGCTGGCAGTGTGGTTTGTGTGAGACACAGAGGATAAAGAAATTAAGGGTCACATACAGTAATGAGTGTCTGACTGTCATGGTGAAAATCCCTGCTCTGAGGTGCCTGGTGTCTGCCTTGATAGCAGCCTGAGGGTCAGAACAAGTGCTTGGATCACTTTCCCTCCACAGTACTGGTGCTGGTGGTGGGATTAAATGCAGAACTGGAGGACGATGAGGACAAAGCAGTCCTGTAGCAGTGCTGCAGGGGTGAGGAAACGTGCCCAAGGCACGGCCATGCAGGGACATTCAGCAAGGGGAGCTGCCTGGGAGGCAGAGCAAGGCGCCTGGGCATGGAGCAAGCAGCCAGAGCTGGAGCCGGCGACACACCATCGCCTCGGCCGTCCCTTCTGGGCCAGTGCTGCCTGAGTTCAGCAGCTCCCAGTGTTTGGCCCGTGCACGGCCTCGAAGCTGAGGTGCCCACCAGCCTCCCACCATGGGATGCTCTGGGCCCACTCGGCGGGGCAGCCCATGCCAGTGCTGTGAGGGGACGGAGGCGGCACAAGCCCCATCCTTTACACTAATGGGGTGAGCGATGCCACTGCTGCCACTGGCCCCTTGCCCACGGCTCTGAGCACGGTCTCGGCTTTGGACTTACGTGTCAGCTGCTGAGTCAGCCCTGCTCTGTGGCCGGAGCCGAGAACAAAACACCACGTGCTCAGGGGGAGCTGCAGCCTTTGGCACCCTGTTATGTACAGAATCAGCTGTGAGGGACCTGCTTAAACGAGCCCGAAATTGGACAAAAACAAAACAAGGAGGGTGATGACATGTTTTCATCTCCAAATGCTTCCAAGTCAGTTGCTGCTTTGGTTTTCATTGCAAAAACAACTGGAGTTGTTCAGGACACAGTTGTGGGGAGGTTTCAGCTTGGACCTTGGTGGGGACTGTGGGGTAAGGTGGGGGCGTTGCGGTGCTGTGGTCCTGCTCGGGGCAGTGTGGGGGCCATGCCCGAGCCCCTCTCTCCTCCCCGTGTCCTGGGCTGGGGAGGCAGCTGGGTCTTGCCCTGCTTCCAGGGGCTCTCCCAGCAGGGGCCCCGAGGCAACCCTGTCTTGTTTTGCAGCGGGGCCTTGCTGATGGCACAGCAGCTCAGCCAGGGCAGCCACGAGCGGGGCTGAGATGGCTGGGCCTGCCCTAAGCACTGAGCAGGTGGCCGGGGAAATGATTTGCCTTTTGCTACACTTTGCTCTGCTGGGTCTGAGGAGGAGAGGAGAGAATATTTGGGATCTTCTCTCCCCTGTGGCCCCTCAGGACTGTGGTCCTGGGACCTCGCACGCTGGATGGAGGTGGGGAAGGGCCCCGTCACCCCCACACAGGTTGGGTCCCCACAGCGTCTGGCTCCCTGGGACCAAAATCTTTGCCATGGCACGGACATCCTGGGTGCTGCTGGGTGCTTGCTTGCCCTATCAGGTCCCTAGCACAGCTGCATTTTAGGGCTCATTCTGCTCCAGCAGCTCAGCAGCATCCTGGGGTGAAAAGTAGGTTAGAAATGGAAGATAATTCTGTGCATCGTATTATGAGCAAAGGCTGAATGGCGATGCAACAGGGGAACCTTTGGAGATCCCGAAGGCCAGAGGCACCAACCCCAGCCCTGCTCTTAAAAGCCTTGAAGAGCTCCAGGCTGTGTTCAGAGAGAGCCTTGCAGCAGCATCGGCTCCGGATGGCTGTGGGGGGTGGCTTTGGATTTACATACACACTAATGGTGTGTTAGTGGGATCTGGCCAGCACAGCTTCCACTGGCATGCGGGTGAACTAGGAAAATCAGTGACCCCCAGTTTATGGAATCCTGCCTGCCAGCCCCAGCTCTGCTCTCCAGGGACTCTCCAGCCTTTCTTCTCCAGGGTTTTTCCTTCCCTTCAGCTGAGCAAACGTGGAAAATTTTGAAATCTTGGAAGCAACCTGACCTGCTGGAAAAGTGTGGTTTAACAGCGGTGGCCGAGAGCCTCAGCTCCTCTCCGCTGGGCTCCCCAGCTCGCAGCAGCGTGGCGTGCCCAGCTCGGCTCGAGGATGCTGGGCTGCAGTGCCAGCTCCTGGCCCGGCAAGCTGGGGTGGGCTCGGCGGGATGGCCTGAGGCAGCCTCCGGCCTGGGGCTGATTTCTGGCTCCCTCCATGCCCGCTCCCGAGCATCCGGCGTTTTTGCTGGGTTGGATCATGTATTCCTCGCCTCTCTTTCCTGAAGACGAGGAGTGATTTACAGGTCTCCAGAAAACACAGCTTGGCTGCTAAGGAAGGGGAAAAAAAAAAAAAAAAAAAAAAAAGCCAAAACCCCACTCTACTTGCTATTTCCATTGCCCAGCTGCCTTCCCATGGAGGGGGTGGCCCCGGTACCTGCCAGCCCTCAGCATCCCCACCAGCCCTGAGCTTTCTGGAAGGAGCAAAGCTCCCAGGAAATGTGGGTGCCTCTTTCAAGACATTGCCACCTTGAGCTGTCTTCTCCAAGAAGCTCACGTATCCTCTGTGGTTCGGAACCCACCCAGGGATTAATTTTGGCCCTACAAGGAGTCCCTACAAGGAGTCCCTCATGGCCCGAGCGTCACCTCACCCCTAGAAGCTCCCCCTTCCCTGCCCGCCTGAAGGGGCCCCTTGTGCGGCCAGGCCCCGAACAAGGCAGCGATTGTGTCTGTGCGCCCCGACGGTCGGGGCTTCTGCTGCTGCGGCCGCACTCCAGAGCTGCGGTAAAACCGGCCACATCCCACCCGCGCCCGTGGGCTCGCCTTTATGGAGCCGTTTGCCAGGGTTTGGGGAGGCTGCCCAGGGGAGGCTGTTATGGGGCTGCCGAACTCACGGGCGGGGAGGTAATGTCATGCATTTAAAGCTGCTTCGGTGATGGGGATGCAGTGATAGGGATGCCTCCGGCTCTTGACATGGGAGGAGGTTGAGAGCTGGCCTGAGGTTGCATCCCGTGGGCCCCTGCCCTGGTCATCCCAAGGACCTCAATGGGATTTGGGGCAGCTGAGCCACCACGGGGCAAAGCGTGACTGTGTGCTGTGCCCCAGCTGGCAGGTGAGAGAAGGAGGAAGCAGCGTTCGGGGTGGGCCCCAAGGGGCATCTCCCCACAGCCGGAGCCCCAGTTCCCTGCAGGGCCCTGGGAGGTGATGCTGGGGGCACCGCATCCTCTGCTCCAAGCGGCTGTTTTCAGCCTCTCCCCCCTCTTTTCCTCACAGCCGTGTGCCATCCAGCAGCACAGTGGGGTTTCTGACTGCAGTGGGATCAGGACTAACAGGGAGTAACAGGGCAGCTTGGAGGTCTCCCACCCCATCCGAGTGAGGGTCCCCACCCCGGGGCATTCCTGTGCTGGTGGCACCAGCATTTGAAGTTCAGCCGGTGGTGGTGGCACCGCCAGCCCTTCCTGCTCCCAGCAGCGAGCCCCGGCCGGGGGCGAGGATGAGCGCCAGCCCTCGCCAGGGGATGAATGAGGAGATGAAGAGAGTCACTACTGTTGGGGCAGCCCGAGGCCCATGCTCCACCTTGGATCTTCTGGAGATGAGGAGGGTGCCCCGCCATCCTGCTCTCTGGAAAGGCGAGTGGTCTCCCCTGCTGTCCCCTCCCCACAGCCAAAAACCGATGCAGCACCACGGAAAGTCATGGGGATAAATCTTTGTCATGATCCTGTTGGGTCCCATGATATTACAAGCCAAGAGAAATGTCTTCATTATTTCCAGAATATTGAAGTCTAATAAATCCCATCCTGCCTTACAGGATTTATTTCTCCGTTCATCACTAGGAGACTCAGTCCCGTGTAATCCTATTGCTGCTCCAGGAGGCGGGAGGCAGCTTTCCGAAGCACAGGCCCGATGGGGCTGCAGGCAGGTGCTGCGGGCAGGAGCAGGCAGCCCCATCCAGAGCTGCTGGTCCCCACTGGGGATGGGTCCAGCTCCACAAATGTCCCAGTGCCATCCCCTTTTCTGCGATGTCCCACTGTCCCAGAGCTGTGCCCCAGCATGGGTTCACCAAAACGCATCCAGTCCAACAGTTGGGGCTTGGCTGGGCCAACAGGGCATCAATCAGCAATTAGCCAATTAACATGGTGTGGCACAGCACATCCTGTGCCTCCGGTCCCATGCATGCTCCCCTGAACCGCCCATTTAGGGTTCCAACACCTTCCTATGCCAGGACCCAGCAGAAGAAGCCAGGAAAAGCTGGGCTCAGCCCAGGCAATCCCCCCCAGAGGCGGTGGCAGCCTGGCCGGTGCAGAGCCGGCCATGCCTGGATTGCTGGACACCAGGGACTCTCCTGAAGGCAATGACGGACACATGAATATGGCTGGAAATTTTGTCGCCAAAGTGTTTTCCATAGCAACCGTTGCTGGGGCAACCTGCATCCCGAGCAGCATCCATCCCAAAATGTCCAGCCCTGCATCTGCTGGAGCCGGTGAAGAACCACGGTGAAGGACCAGTGGGGCCCTCACCGTATCCCACCGCCAGTGGCACAGGGAGGCTCTGGCTGCGCCAACACGGCTCTGAGCGTGTAACACTCTACTTTTGATCTTTTTGGCACATCCATTTTCTTAGAGGTGGGAGAAGCTGAAGGGAGACCTGTTGGTGCCTGCCACCCCCTGGGCGCTTGGCTGCAGAAGCAGAGGGGCGCAGGAGCTGTTGCCAGCTCAGGGCACGCAGCAGATGCAAGCAGCGATTTTGGCTCCAATGCACCAAAAATGGCCAGTATTGAGTATCGACAGGGGACGCTTTGATCTGAGCATCGCCATGGGGAGGGGGAAAAATAGAATCCCTGCTGCTTTAAGTACCAAAGTGAGGAGTCTGTGAACCCCTCGGCACCTGCCCGAAGCCATGTGGCAGGTTCACCCTGGGGACAGCCCAGGGATCCCAAGGAGAGACACTCACTGCTGGGCAGGGGGGTGATGGCCAGCCTTGGGGTCTCTGAAGCAAACACACTGTGGCCTCGTGGGATCGGCCGTGGCAGCAGGAGAGGCGCCGGGGAGCTCAGAGCACACC